ACATTACGGCCAGAAAATAGTGTAAACATCTGGAACTTATTTTGGCTATCCCGGGGGGTGGGGGACGAGGTGTACACCTGGAAAAATTGGTTGAGGGTGTGCGGCTCGCTTTCCAAAACCCTTACCCTATTTTTGACCAGAATCTGCGATATTCTCTACCCTAGTTATGACCTGACCCTTAATCAAAACCCTGTTTCAGACCTACGTTATACAATTAGTTCCCTAGTTCAGACCAATGTTAAATTACCGTTAACATAACTTCTGAAGGACTTTTGTTGATTTTCTGTTCGATAATAACGAAAAAGTGGCTTCCTCTTAAAAACATACCCATATCAATGCTAGAGTGCAAAATCCACACCTTATTTATGACCACAATGGCTAAAATCAGCTAAAATCGATACCCTAGTTATGACCAAGCCATACCCTTTGGGGCCGCACATACCTATATAGCCCATATAAGGGAGTATCCCCCCCTTATCTCGGCGACTGATCATTTAGGCATACCACAGATAAAAAAATATATATTGTAGCGGCTACTTGCATCTACATGTAGACATACAAAACATTTATGATGCACATGCACTTGTGAAAGGGACACCGCGTGAACGTAGCGCGCTCCTCCGAGGTACTCCGTGTGAACAAAAGCCAACAATTCAACAATAAGATTTTATTTAAGTGATATTACTTTCAACTCTTGCCTTTTTCTTTCTTCTCTTGGTTTAACGCTTCTCTAGGGGGTCGGTCTCCACTGGTATCACATTCAATTTTCCTTCTTCACATTTCACTGACCTGACAAACGTTCTTCTAAATTCTAATACACATAAATTAATTATCTTTCCCTAACAACTAATAGCTTAAAAGATCATTATCATATGTTTATCACGCTATTTCTGTCGCTAACTTAAGTTTCACACCAAGGCTAAACTTATACTAAAAATTATACAACTCAGCTTGCACTGGCAAGTAATTACTCCAGGTGTTACTAGAAACTATTTACTGGTGAGAAACCTAAGTTTAATCAAATAAACACATAGTTAGGTCATGAACAAATTCTTAGCTGTGCTGCAAAACTGTAAATAAAGGACAACGCCCAAGTAAAGATAAAAATCCTAAACGTTCTTAAAATGGGTTCATATATCTAAAGGATACACCGGAACTTTGTTTCCTTAAGTTCTTAAGGAGCTCACTCACGGTTTGTACAATTTGAAAAGTTCAGCCTAAATTTTTCGAATTCGTCGTTTGCAATCCGTGTCAATCTTCGCCATGCTTGACCATCCTTGTTCCTTTATGGCTTATTAGTATCTCTTTGATGTTTTTCTATTTTAAGTAAATTATTATTTCCAGGTTTCCTTCCGTTTGAAGGAGATTTTGTACGTGGCCAAAACAACTCAAAACACCGTGACTGAGCTCCTTTGAGGTAATGCATGGAAAATTAACTAAAAGCATATTCGTAATGTAAATGTCAAAACGGATCCACGATGTCTCAAAATGGACGGATAAACTAAGTCTATTCCATTATCAGTAAATACTGATCACGTAAAAAAAAAAATATCACGCAACTTAACAAAGACTTTTCGCTAAAACCCAAAATGCATCTAAAGTAACTATTAAATACCTAAGCTGTGCACAAATGGGCGCTGCCTATGCCTCTGTCGAGTAGATACAGAAATATTGCTTTTATTCTAAGTATATATATTTTACTAGCAATGTTTCATTTTTATGGAAGCGATTTGATATTTAACAATGATAGAAGTTTCCAGAATTTTTTTTGGCGCCAATTGCTATAAAATCTTATTTTCAATGATTTCATATTTTTCATGTAATTAACTGCAATTCATTCTGTGCCACACTATTTATTTTCCTCTATAAAGTGGAAATGTCTGTGTGGCCAAGAAAAACCCTTCGGTTTGCCTTTAGACGTTCCTGTGAAACACGCGCATTGCCGCTAGATGGATGTGACCTCTGCATGAGCGTCTTAAAATAACCATAACGGGAAAAAATGGTAAAAAAAAAACTTACCAAAGACTTATTCATAATTGTATTAAATCTCTTCCTTAGGGGAACTAGTTCAGGGGAGTTCTATGGCAATATCGGGGATATTTTCCCTGGGCATAAGAACACAGGATTCAGGAGAGACTTTATAACACTATAAAGCCACCATAAGAGACTTCAAGATATAGAACAGGACAGATTTGAGACGAGGCGCCTCTTCATTGTTGGAAATTTTTTTTTTGATAAACGCTAAAATTACTTGCGGTATTTCTTCTAAAAGCTACGAGTTCGCGCTTCAAACGAATTAGCACTAACGTGAAAACTTCCTGCAATACGATTTCTTAAAGCACATGTACTACATATA